CTCAGAGTCCATAGTCTCTCATGGTTTGTCTTCCCCTCTGATTTCCCCCCTTCATTCTTCCCCTCCTGCTATCTTCTTCTTTTTTTTTTTTTTTAACATGTAATGTATTATTTGTTTCAGAGGTACAGGTCTGTGGATGATAGACACTGGGGAGGGTGTGTGCTATGGTGAGCACTGTGAATTGTGTAAGACAGTTGAATCACAGATTCCCAATATATTTTTAAGAAGTTTTATGTGCCAGGACCCTAAGGTAGGCTGTTCATGTATATTCTTTCTAATTTTATGGCAATTCTGTTTAGTAGGTAATGTATCAATAGGAAAGTGCCTGAACAGGGAAATGAATCCAAGTGAGTCTAAAACTCTTTTTATACTATTTGCCTGGAAGGAAGGAGTTTCAATGAAGTTAAATCAAAAGAGGAAAAGAGGTTTTGTAATTGTTATATAAAGAAAACATATATATTTGAAGATTAGAAGGTAGTTTATGATTTTTACCAAGAGTAGTCTCCACTTATAGAAGCATATTAGCAAGTACTTTTCCTTATATTTTAGTATAAGATTATTTATCAGTAATGCCATTAAAGTTGTCATAATTTGCTGTATTTTTAAAAGTCATCAGATAAAGTTTTATAGAAAGTGAACATGATATAAATTATAGTGATTAAAATATCATTGCATAATTCTGAATCTTTAAGAACTGATATTTAGTTTTTTGAATTTAGGTTCATACTTTGGAAACAAAAGATCTAATGCAGAAAACCCATTTGCATCAAATTTTACTTTTGGTACAAGCTCGGCTTCTGCACAAGATAGTAATTATCCTCAAATACTGAAAACTCCATTGCCTACTGGAAATCCCCAGAGATCAGGTTATAAAAGTTGGACACCACAAATGGGATATTCAGGTAAAATGAAAATGAGTGGAATGTTTACCTAGTTGACTTTGAAACTATTAAGGTTTGTAAATTATAAATTAGGGTGGTTAAGTTCATTTGACGTTATTTGTAACTGACACAGATGACTGAAAGAAAAATACTTCAGTTTACCCATATCCATAATTTGAGGTTAAGTTAATGCTACGTAGTTTCTGATACTATTTGTTAATAAATGCAGGTTTGTGTTATTTTAACTATTCTGACAAAAAAGTAAAAGAGAAAACTCCCTTTTATACATAATATTTACTTAAATCTAGCAGTTGATCCTGATAGTATTATTGTGCAGGGGTTTTTTTTCCATACTTAAATTTTAGTTTTTATCTAAATCTAGTTTTTCTTGAGGGGAAAAGGAATGAAATAGTTCTTCATGTGTAAGTGTTCTCTAAGGTACATGCAGTAGAATTTCTTGGATACAGGACATGTGAATGTATACATTTACAAGATAATAACAAATTGTTTTCTAAATGCTTCTACCAGTGTACACTATTACTAGCAACATGTGAGAGTTCTTGTTGATCTGCATCCTCTCCAACAGTTGGTATTGTCAGACTTCTTAATATTTACCAGTCTAGCAGTTGTAAGATACTAATTGTAGTCTGAATTTGTATTTTCCTGGTTATTAATGAAGTTGATTACCTTTTGTGTGCTTTTTGACCATATAGCTTTCATTTTTTTGTGAAATGACTGTTCATGTGTTTTACCTATTTTTCTTTAGATTTATTTTTCTAGATTTGTAGAAATTCTTTATATATTCTGAATATATATTCAGAGTATATATTCTTTTGATGAATACATACATTGTGTATATCTTCTCTAGGTTTATGGCTTGTCTTCCTCCTTTTTTTATGATCTTTGATGAACAGAAGTTCTTAATTTTATACATTTTTAGTAAATGTTCTGCTGCACTTGTTTTTTCTTTTTATCTTTACAGTTGTGTTTTATATATGTTTATTAGGTCTTTTCCTTTCTTTCTTTCTTTTTTAATAAACTACACTGGTTGTGGGGCTTAAACTCATGACCCTGAGATTAAGAGTCACATGCTCTACCCACTGAGCCAACCAGGTGCCCATTAGGTCCTTTCTTTAATTGTGTTAAGTCTGTATCACTAAAGACTTCTTTGTAGAGGTATATTAAAAACTCCCATTATGATTGTGGACTTGTCTATTTCTCTAGTAGTTCTGTTAATTTTTTGTTTTGCATATTTTGAAGCTATTTTAGTAAGAGCCTAAAAATTTAGCATTGTTATGTTGTAATAGGAAATGACTCTTCATCTCTAAATATACTTTTTGCTTTAACTTATATTTTGTCTGCTATTAATACAACAATTCCTTTCCTTTAGGTTACTGTTTATATGATATATATTTAAAAAATTTTTGACTTCCAAACTTTTACCCTCAGGCCTTTGTACATGGTATTTCCTATGCTTGGGAACACTTTCTTCCCCTCTTCATACAGTCAACTCTTATTTATTCCTCAAGTCTAAGCTTAAATGTTACATCTTACAGAAAGCTTTCTGTAATCCTATAAGTCTAGGTTGATTCTCTCTACTACGTGCTCCCATTTCACTTTGCATTTTACTAATAATATTGGTATTTAATTGTCTTTTTCTCTGCTGCTCTATAAATTCCATGAAGGCAGAGACTATAGCAGTCTGGATCTAATTTGAAGATAGAACCATATAATGATTTAAACAAGGGAGATTTAACATAAAGAATTATTAAACTATGATAACAAAGTCACTGTAAGATATAAGAAAACTCTGTAAGGTACTCTAGAACTGAGGGGAGGCCCAAGAGGTCCTGTTCGGAAGCACGCTCTTTTCAGGGCTCATCTCCAAGTCTGGGGTATAGATCTCCTTGGAGAAAGTCAAGTTGAACCTACTAAATGGCAGAGGCTGCAGGTTTGCAGGCAAGGATTGGTCCACTGTCCCCCTGGGAAGTGGTGCTATATGGGGCATTTAATGTTGATCAGGTTAGGTACTCACAGTGTGGTTGGCCAGGTTAGCCTTGGTAAGAGGAAGTTCATGATGTTGAGCCCATGCATATCCTTGCCACCATGGCTGCTTTGTTCATAGGTCTACTAAAGAAGCACTGGGGTGGCTGGGAAAAGAGGCTAGTTGACATCTGCAGAGTGTAGCATTTTGTCTACCTGATTATTAAGAGTCCCCTCTATAGTAGTTGCCCTTTAGTGGGCATTCACATGAGACATAAATATTTTCGAAGTTTATGCCTATTCAAAGAGGTTCATCTGCATACTTTCCCCAAGCTTTCCTTTTTATTATCTTCCAGTTCTATTTCTTCCAAGTCCCTATCCAGCTAGACCATTACCAACTGCTTATGAATGAGTCTAAATCTGTACTTCTGGTACAGTACTACCTCATTCCAGACATGGTAGATAACCAAAGGTACTGCTCAAAGTTCTGCTCAACAAAAGATCAAAGTGAACAAAACAGCTAAAAAAATTAGAATAAAATAGTAATGCATATCAAATATCTCACAGTGAAAGAGGAGTTTCATAGCAGAAAAGCAATGGAAGAAATTAGAAAGGAAAAAGATTGTGTATACAAAAGCAGAAATCTTTGAGAGATCAAGATTGGTAGCAACTATAAATCATTTTCATTGATTTATAAAATTTTCATAAACAGATGGAAAACATTAAGATTTAGTAAAAACTGTATAAAAAGACATGAACATATCAAAAGAAAATATAGAAAACAAATGGATATGTTAAATTCTGTTCAATTTTGATAGTAATTTTCAAAAATACAAATTCAAGTGTCAATACATTAAATTAGGACCACAGGGGAAGGGAGGGAAAACTGGGGAGAAATCAGAGAGGGAGACAAACCATGAGAGACTCTGGACTCCGGGAACTAAACTGAAGGTTACAGAAAGGAGAGGGTAGGATGATGGGGTAACCGGGCATTAAGGAGAACACATGTGGTGATGAGCACTGGGTGTTACACACAACTAATGAATCATTGAACATAATAATAAAAAAATAAAAAAAAAATAAATTAGTAATAATAATATAATACATTTCAGAAGTTAGTAATGGTAAAGACACAGTAAAATTGGTTTTTCTCGTATACTGCTAATGGAATAAAAAATTGGAAAAAAAAGAATTGATATAGGGGCACCTGGCTGGCTCAGTCAGTAGATCATGTGTCTCTTAATCTCAGGGTTGTCAGTTTGAGCCCCACATTGGGTGTAGAGATTACTTAAATAAACTTTAAAAAAAAATGGTACAATTCTGAAAGAAATTTGGCAATATATATGAGATCCTTAACAAATGGTGGTTTTCCTTTGTTCCAGTAATTGACTTCTAAGGATCTACTTTAAGGAAATAATAGACCCACAAAAAAGCTTTAGGCACTAGAATGCTCATTATATTATTATTTACAACAGAGATAACAATATAAGTGTTCTTTTAGAAGTTTAAGGGAGATATCTTCTGAGTGTACTAAATTTCCACTGGAACTTGGTATTTATTTTCCAATTAAAAATAGGAAGGTCATATTTTATTGCAGAATTAAACTGCCTTCATAGATCTAATGTAAACTCAATCATAATGTATGAATAAGATGGCTTTTGTGGCAAAGAGGGTTTGGAGATCTAGACATAATACATTTTTAAATGAACTCTTAAATTGACGCTAACTAGGATTACATAATTGTTTAATTTTGTAGGCATTATAATAGAAGAGTAGAAAGAGTAGAAAAAAATGAATCTAGGTCAGGGAGGGAAAAGAGAGAGGAAATGAGTTTTTTTTTTTTAATATTTTATTTATTTATTTGACAGAGAGGGACACAGCGAGAGAGGGAACACAAGCGGGGGAGTGGGAGAGGGATAAGCAGACTCCCTGCTGAGCAGGGAGCCCAACACGGCAATCCCAGGACCCTGGGATCATGACCTGAGCCAAAGGCAGACACTCAGCCGACTGAGCCACCGAGGCACCCCTATTGCATTTAATTTTTATAGTTTGTGAAAAAGGTTTGGTATTTCTACTTTCAAGATGAATGAATAAATGGTAGCTTTATAAAGGTTAAACAACTTACCTGAATATTCATTGTTTGTAAGGTACAGATCTCAAAATCAGTAATAATATGTAAAGGTTAGGAGCACCAGATCTGGAGTCAGGCTGCCTGTGTACAAATTCTGACTTTATTAGTTCCATCCATGCTTCAGTCTCCTTGAAGGTAAATGGAGTAAATAATGATATCTATTTGATAGAATTGTGAAAATTAAATGAGTTAATTCAAATAAAGAATTTAGAACATTCTTGGCACATTAATAAAGTATCCAACATTACACATATAGTTATATATAATTGGAGTTTATAGTTATATAATATTTTATTCTTTTTTTTTAAGATTTTATTTATTCATGAGAGACAGAGGCAGAGGGAGAAACAGGTTCCCTGTGGAGCAGGGAGTCAGATGCAGGACTAGATCCCAGGACCCCAGGATCAGGACCTGAGCCGAAGGCAGACGCTTAACCCACTGAGCCACCCAGGCGTCCCTATAATATTTTATTCTTTATAAAATGCATTCATATATATAATCCCATTTGATCCATTCATACCAGCTCTTGAGTTAGGCAGGGCAGTTACTACATTTTGTGATTTTTGATTATTTATTATGAAGTAATTTGCTCAAATTCATATAGCTTTTAAACGATAGAGTAGGATAAATAATCTAGGTTTTCTCATCCCAAATTCAGTGTTCCTTCATAACTCCATTCCAATAAAATGCAAAATGGGGGAATGTATAAATTATTTCTAATTTTGAAGTTAAGTTTTGGCAAAATACTTTGAGAATTAACATTTTTATTTGGTCGGGATATTAAAAGTTGTTTTTTGATGAGGAAAAAAAAGTTATTTCCTTGGATATTAAGAGCCATGTCCTAAACTTGGTGCTTTGAGATCTTATTAGAAAGAATGAGAACAAGCGTGGAGGACACGGGGAAGGGAGGGAAAACTGGGAAGAAATCAGAGAGGGAGACAAACCATGAGAGACTCTGGACTCCGGGAAACAAACTGAGGGGTGTGCAGGGGAGGGGGTTGGGGAGTTGGGGTAACAGGGTGATGGGTATTAAGGAGGGCATGTGTGGTGATGAGCACTGGATATTATATGCAACTAATGAATCGTTGAACATTACATCAAAAACTAACGATGTACTACTATATGTTGGCTAACTGAACATAATAAAAAAAAGGAAAGAATGAAAACATACTATTATTAATTTTTATACATTTTCTTTTTTAAAAAATTTAACAGCTACATCGTCATCTGCGGTTTCAACACACTCCCCATCAGTTATTGTAGCTGTTGTAGAAGGTAGAGGACTTGCCAGAGGTGAAATAGGAATGGCAAGTATTGATTTAAAAAGCCCACAAATTATATTATCTCAGTTTGCAGACAATACAACATATGCGAAGGTAAGTATTTATACTGTTAGAAAATGGTTGACCTAGTGAGCACTATGTAGATTTTCAAGTCACTGCTTTCCTAATTAGTTTACTTTTTCATGGAATAAAGTTTATTCACAATTGTTCTAATGTAGGCTACTCTGAATTAAAACTGTTTTACATCTGATTTTAATTTTTTTAATGTATTTTGTCCTAAAAATAATGTGCTTTGCTGTTATATGAACATTTCAAATTACTGTTAATTTCTAAAATTAACCTCTTCAAATTAATAGTTCTTGGACTCATTCCAAAGATTATATATTAATAATGCTATTGCCAAAGTTGTTTCACTGAACAGTATTTGAATTCTTTTTCCAGAGTTCAGGGAAACTGGTCTTTTAGGTCAGTCATAATTTAGCCTCTTCTTGCCTTCACTTCCTATCACTTATCATTAATTTGGGCCACTGGCCTATTGTCATGGAAATTTCTGTCATTTACCAGGTAGAAGTAATCTGCTTTTAATCTCTATATTCTAAAAAGTTAGTTGACCCAATTTCTGTTATTAAATATATATATGCTATGTTATTTTTAGCATTTTATTGTTTTTTTTTTTCCTTTTCCTAATTCCTCTTTATGGTTTCTCAGTACATAGATTTCCTTTTCCTTCCTAATAATTAATTGTTTTAACATAGCTAACAACCTACATGATACTAGTACTGCATGTAACTTTATCTCTGGGTATTTCACATTTTTATGCAATTTAAAAAAACATAGGAAAAAGCTTTTTTTAAAAACAAATGTTTGGCAAATTGATTAAGAATTTCTGTGTCTGGGGGCGCTGGGTGGCTCAGTTGTTTAACATCTGCTTTTGGCTCAGGTCATGATCCCAGGACCCTGGGATGAAGCCCCACATCAAACTCCCGCTCAGCAGGGAGTCTGCTTCTCCTTCTCCTTTTGCCCCTCTCCCTCACTCATGTTCGCTCTCTCTCTCTCTCTCTCTCAAATAAATAAATAAAATCTTTAAAAAAAAAAAAAAAGAATTTCTGTGTCTGGGATAGTTCTAAGAAATGCACCTATATTGTGAAAAGAATAAGTTGTAAAACATATGTTTCTCATCTGTGTTTCTATATTGTTCAACTTCTAAGCTGTACCAGTGTGGTCATAATGATTGAATCACCATAGTTATACTTTTGAATGTGTTTATGTTTTTTATGGAGATGGATAGAATACCAAATAGAAGAATTAATTTTAAAACATCTTATATTAGGAATATATATCTGATAAGTTCAAATAATTTTTGAGCTTAGAGCTGTTACAAATTATTGTGAAGTAAAATATAACCTATGTTTATTATATTTTATATATGATATATTTATATTCATATAGCATGTATGTGTAATATATCACTTTTAGAAATATATCTTAACTGACATATATAATTAGAACAGTTGTAATTTTGTGTATCTGTGAATTAATTTTAAGTACTTATCTCTCAGAAAAATATGCCACTTGTTTGGTTTTAGAGAATTCTAAGCTTACATTTAAGAAATTATTTATTCAAATTATTTTAGGTGATTACTAAACTCAAAATTTTATCACCTTTGGAAATAATAATGTCAAATACTGCTTGTGTTGTGGGGAATTCAACTAAGTTGTTTACTCTGATCACAGAAAATTTCAAGGTGAGTGATTTTTATTCTCAATAGTAACATTCAAGTCTTACCTTATTTAAAATCCATTCTATAATAGCATTCTGGAGAACAATAATTTGAACAACTTTATATTTACCCTGAAGTACTCACTAAATACAAGTCCTAAACTAATGGACAGTTAATACATAAAATGAAAATGACAGGGCATCCACTTACTTGATTTGGCACCCTTGATCTACCTTAAACACCATCTTTTTTTTTTAATTGTGGGTTACTTCTGTGAGGTTTAAGATAATTATGATGGCTACAGATTGATGTGATCTCAGCTTATCGAATTCAGAGAAAAAATATATTCTTTCTTCCAGTGTCCATATATAAATTCCAGGGAAGGACCCTAATGGGTCCTGCTTTGTTCATACTCCCACATATTAGACTAATTACTGTTTCTCAGGGTAGAAGCACTATGATTGATTAATCCCTGGTCATTTGCTTTCTGTGGGGATACAGGGCTCTGTAATTGACAGTTACCAAACCCACATGGAATGTAAAATAGATGAGTCCTTCAAAGGCAAAAACAGCATATATTCACTACACTTGAGATGTAGGGCAGTATGGCATAGTGCTTAAGAATAGAGGAGTCAGACTGTGCTTGTTTCAGATCTTGACTCTACATGATCTTGTGCAAGTTAAGTTACTTAAGTTTTTTTCATCAGTAAAATAGGGACAATAATCTACCTCCTAGAGAATTGGTATTTTATATAACATAATTAGAGAAATGACCTCATTGATTTAAGGTTACTTTTGGGCAAAGCCCTAAAGGAAGTGAGAGACAGAGCCATAGAAGTATTGGGGTAAAAGTATTATAAGCAGAGGGGAAAAACCAGTATTATTATTATTGTCATTATTACCACACTTACCATAAAAAAAACCTTCATTAGAAGAGAAGCACTATGAAGTGGAAGGACTTTGTAGCCAGAGAAGTCTAAATTCAAGTCTCAGTTCTGGCACGTATCAAATGTGTGATGTTAGAAAAACTACTTGACTTTTTAGAATTTTACTTGTAAGAAAATTGTAGTTAAAACAAGACTTACATCGTAGAGTTATTGTAATGATTAACTGAGATAATTTAAAACAGTCTTGGTGCATAACAAATTCCCTATCTCCTCATGAATTTTTTTTTTTCCCTGTCTTACAGCTCTTTCATAGTCCATTGTTATTATATTATCTTTCTTACATATTGTTTTTATTCAGAGGAGGTAAACCTTTTACTCTACAACTTCATGCTTTTTTTCCTACTCCTTTAAAAAAGTTTCATTATCTCCTTTTCTTCTAAATAAATTCACCGTATGAATATAACATCTCATAGATTTGGTAGCTGGAATTGATATTTTTTTCCTCTGCAGCTAATACATTATAAGGATCTACTCTATCTCAATTATGGTATAGAATATGTAACACCAAATGTAAAACCTGGGTGGTGATGTTGCTGTAGAATAAAGTTAATAGAAGGCAGAGGCTCTCATGTTTATTTTTTATTATTGTACCTACCACATTCAGTTAAATGTCATGTGAATATGGTCTAATAAGAGCTATAGACTGCTATGATTCACTTAGTAAAATAGATAATCATTCTTTTTTTGTAAATCATTAAGAAAATATCTTATTTAACTCTGGAAAATAATAAATAATAAAAAATAAACTTTATATGACATTGAAGCCACCTAAGCAGTTTTGGGGCAACTGCATGAAACTTAAAATTTATTTTGAAATTAAAACTTCTTTTCAGAATGTTAATTTTACTACTATCCAAAGGAAATACTTCAATGAAACAAAAGGACTAGAGTACATTGAACAGTTATGCATAACAGAATTCAGCACTGTCCTAATGGAGGTTCAGTCCAAGTAAGTTATGACTTAAGGAAAATGTTAAGTCTGTAGTGTGAGTTCCATGAGGGCAAGGTCTTTTGTTCGTTTTGTTTTCTGCTGTATCCCTAGAAAAGTGCCTGACTTACAATACATACTCCATAATTATTGAAATAGTAAAATAGTTAACTAAAATTTATATACAAGGCATATTTTGCTAACTTAATTTATACAGAATTTTTCCAAATTGGTCATAATCTGTTGCCATTATGGTTGCTGCTCACTTTACTTTGGAGTGAATTGCTCAAGTAGCTACAGTAACCTAGAAATGTGAGACACCGAGCTGTAGTCCTATTATTTCATACATGTACTCCTAAGAGATTCAGTTAGGACAGGGAATGATATTTTTAAAAAGGATTTTTTTTAAAAGATTTTATTTATTTGATAGAGAGAGAACACAAGCAGGGGCAGCTGCAGGCAGAGGGAGAGGGAGAAGCAGACTTCCCCCTGAGCAGGGAGCCCAACGTGGGGCTCTATCCCAGGACCCTGAGATCATGACCTGAGCCGAAGGCAGATGCTTAACAGACTGAGCCACCCAGGCACCCTAGAAAGGGTATTTTTTAGAACATAGTAATAGATACTTTCTTTGAGCTGGGTTGGACTAGTTGTGTATTCAGTTAATCACAGTAACTAAGCTCACCAAGATCATAACATACTTTTCTATACATAGGAACCTTCTAACTCTGTCAGACCTTTTCAACATTATTTGAATTCTTAGAATGGTACATTGACACAAGTTACCACTGAATATTGTCTTCCAGCCTGTGATTTATTGGAGTTGTTAAGTGTCAGACTTCAGAAAATTGTCTATCAACTTTTATGTTTTAGAGGTTATTTTGTTAGTTTTCAAAAGTAAAGAGCACTGAAAAAAAAATAAAGAGCACTGGGTGTGCTTTTTCCCTTTGAATTTAAGCAGTGCTATGCAAATATTTATAATTTTCCTAATAATAGGGTGAAATAAATGTTTTATAGCAATACTTTGTTTTATTCTAAAGATTTATAGTGAAGTGTCATTGGTCACCTTTCAGGTATTACTGCCTTGCAGCTGTTGCAGCTTTATTAAAATATGTAGAATTTATTCAAAATTCAGTTTATGCACCAAAATCGCTGAAGATTTGTTTCCAGGGTAGTGAACAGACAGCCATGATAGATTCATCATCAGCCCAAAACCTTGAATTACTAATTAATAATCAAGACTATAGGTAAGATCATCTAAATTTTTTTCTTACAAAATATATGTGTATTTTATTATGTCCTATTTTTCTATGAATAGTTATTTTACATTTCTGTAAATTGTTTGATATAGAAATATTGAATAAACATACCTTTAATCATTGTACCATTGTTGCTGAACTGCTCAGATGTTTCACGAAAGCCAAATTTTAAAAAGGTATTTGTATGAAACAACAAAAAACAACCCATTTCAAAACTAGGCAAAGGACTTGAATGGACATTTCTCCAAAGAAGATATCCAAATGGCCAATAAGCACAGTCATTATGGAAATGCAAATCAAAACTCACAGTTACTACTTCACACTCATTAAGATGGTTATTATCAAGTAAGTAGAAAATAAGTGTTGGCAAAGATGTGGAGAAATTGGAACCCTGGTACATTTATCATGAGAATATAAAATGATACAGTCATTTTTGGAAACAGTATGGTGATTCCTCAAAAAAAGTTAAACATAGAATTACCATATGATTCAGCATTCTACTTCTAAGTGCACATACCGAGAAGAATTGAAAGCAGAGACTCAAAGAGATACTTGCAGACAAGTGTTCACAGCAGCATTATTCACAGTAGCCAAAAGGTGGAAATAAACCAAATGTCCATCAGTGAGTGACTGACTAGATAAACAAAATAAGGTATATACATAATGTACAATGGAATACCATTCAACCTTATGAGTGAAATTCTGATATATGCCACAAGATGTATGAACCTTGAAGACATTGTACTAAGTGCAATAAGCCAAACACAAAAGGAAAAATATTTTATAATTCCACTTAGATACCTAGACTAGGCAAATTCATAGAGACAGAAAGTAGACAAAAATTATCAGGGACTTGGAACAGTAGGGAATAGGTAGTTACTGTTTGGTGGATTCAGAGTTTCTGCTTGGGATGATGAAAAAGTTCTGGAAACGGGTAATGGCAGTTGTACAATATTGTGGATGTATCTAAGAACACTGAATTGTGTACTTAAAATGTTTAAAATGGTAAAATTTATGTTATGTGTGTTTTACCACAATAAAAAAATTGTATCCAGATTACCACAAAATTGGAATGACCAGCTTTATTAAAAGCATCAAGTACAGGAAATTTAAGGGGCTATATAATTATTTGAGAAGGTAAAAATAGTTGAATCAACTTGGTCTGTGGTGTATAACTAGATTGCTGGTTTTACTGGCTTATTATTAACTTTAGTTAGAGTATCAGGAATATGAATGGTGAGCATGAGAGAGAGAGAGAGATAGGGAGAGGCACAGACAGACACACACACAGTGTTTATAGATTTCATAGTAGGGTACTTCAACTAGAATTAACACATTAATAGAAAATAATATAATCAACATGGTGATGGTGAGGCAGAAATGCATTAATACGGGGTTGGTTTGGTACAAAGAATTAATGAGGAATTACAGTGTAGAGGTGGAAACACATAGTATTATTAATATGTACTAAGTATGGTGATAAAATTTGCATAAAAATGATGGGATCATAGCAGAGAGAGAGTTAATTGGGCTTGGGTTAAGGGTAAAAGGGAAGTAGTTAGGAAAGGCTTTCTAGAGGAGATAATACCTGAGGTAAGTTTTGAAATATAAACATAAATATAAGTAATCCAGATGAAGTAGAAAAGGTGGTAAGACAGTAAGTCTCGAAAGCATGATTTTCATTATAACAATACGGTATGTGCAAGGAAACTAAAGCTATTTAATATTACTGATTGGTAAAGTGCAAGTTCGGAGTAAGTAAGCTTGGAGTAGTTAAATAATCAGCTTTTGGTAATTAAATATAACATTAGACATCAATGAAAGGGATAAACTTAAAATGGTTATGATTTTTAGTATTAAGAGTATTGAAGGGAATAAAGAGTACTTTAGACAATTGAAACCTTAAGGTACTCAGTGCAAATTTAGAGCCATAGTTGTTTAAATATCTCTATTACTTTGTATATTCTTATTTTGGCTTCACTTTCCATTATGTGAAATTGCCAGACATTATTTGCTGTTGCAAACTTAGAAACATAGGCTGTCTAATTTTGTTAATTACTTATACTCTAATCATCAAGAGCAGTGTAAATCTATCTGGGTGCTGTTGATACTACTTTTAGTAGGAGTAGTACTATATGTAACACTTTTAGTTAAATATCAGTATAGTAGGCTCAGTTCCTTTGCAGTTCCATTGGCTAATGATGGTCTAAAATTACAACCTTAAAGAATTTATAGTTAATTGTAGCTATTATTCCTTTTCAATTTAGTCAATAAGGAATTTTTTTCTTCTTGCTACTTAAAAAGGATTAAAATAATATTATTTGGAAAAATTACTCTGTCATTTACTTTCTATGTTATAATAACATAGAGTAACATAGAGAGTCAATAACCAAGGCTGATAATTACTACAAAGTGTTTATACTTTGTCACATTTAATAGTTCATCATTATTTATCATTATCATTGTCAAACATTGCTTGAGTTCCAGCTATATATTACATGATAGGATATTTGACCTCTAGGAATTCATATTATAGTTGAAAAGGAGAAATTGAGAAGCCTTTTCATAGAGTTGAAGCAAAGAATTTCAGGTTAAAAGATGGATATTCTACCTGCTGAACTATCTGAATAGCTCTAACACTTCTGTAGACTTGTCACCTGTTCAGAGCAGTTTCACTCTTTGATTTCTATAGCAAATGGCAGGTTTGGGTATGCTGCTCACTTCCTTGGTTCCTGTAGAAGCCCAGTTCTCAAAAAGTAAATGCCTGTGATGACTCTACTCCCACCCCTGACCAGGACTTGATTTGAGTAGTTCTCTAAAAATTTGTTTAAATTGATATACCAGGGCACCTGGCTGGCTCAGTTGGTAGAGCATATTTTGTCTCAAGGTTGTGACTTCAAGCCCTACATTGGGGGTAAAGTTTACTTAAAAAAAAAGTTGATATACCAAAAATCTGCTAGTCCGATGACTAAATTAAGAGTCATTCTTGTTTTCTACCCTCTCTTAACCCGGATTCAGTCCACTAGTAAATCCCCTTGACTCAACCTTTAGAATACATACCAATTCTGGATCACATCTTACCATTTCCAAGGCTACAGTCCTAACCATTACCTCCATCATTTTAGCCTGGACTACTATAATTACCCCTACCTTGTTTCTCTGCCTTCTTTTTATCCTCCTACATTTAGTCTATTCTTGATCTAGTGGGCAGACTGTGATCCTTTTAAACTAGAAATCAGATGTTGGAACTCTGCTGCTGAAAATCTTCCAGTGGCTCCCATTACATTTAGAATAGAGTCCAGACTCTTTACCATGGCCTACAAGGACTTCTATGTCCTGGTCTCTGTCAGCTTCTTCATCTCCCTCCATTTTCTTTCACTTGCAGAGTTCCATCACACTTGATCTTCTTTCTGGTTCTAGATCCAAAAAGACTTCCTGGGCTTAAATTACTGTTCTGCTTGGCCCTTTTTAACTGATAACTCTTTTCTTGTTATTTAATTATTAGGAAATCTTAGACAAGTAAGTTAATTTCTTTGCACTTCAGTTCCTTCCCTTGTAAAATGTGGTTAAATCTAGCATCTACTTCACACTGGTTATTAGAATTAAATAAGTTAATATATGTAAAGTGCTTAGAATATTGCCTGGCACATACTTAGTGTTCAATATATGTTACCTATGCTCACCATCATTGTCACCATCATCTGCATCCCATCATCATCTTTGCATGGATACCTTTTGAATTCAACTACCAAATGCATATATAGGTCTCTCTCAACCAACTTAACTAAAGCAACCCTCCTGGTCATTCTCTATGCAGTCCTGTTCTGTTTAACACTTTCTGTACCTGAAATTATTTTCTTTCTCTTTTATTTGTAATTCTCTTAACTTCTTAAATTAGAACAAAGTGATTAGTCACTTTTTTAAATGTAAAAGCTCTTTTCCCCTGTAAAAGATATATTACTGTTATCTTGCTATTATTGATGGAATGCCATGGAGTAGAACATTTTATATTAGTCTGAATATTCCAGCTGACCTATGAAAAAAGTCATTAACTAAATGCAAGAAGATACTGCTAATTAAAGCGTTGTTCATTGATAGCGTACTTGGGATCTTATTTGAAATATATATTCTCAGGCCTCATCTCAGACTTACTCATCTCAGACTTAGAATTCCCTGTGTGATTTGTATGCACATTAAAGTTTGAGAATCACTACTGTAGATTATAGGATTATTTAGGAAGTTAAATGGTAACTTTTTTTGATTTTTCCTTGTATACTTAATGAAATTTTCCTAATTTGTATTTTCAAAGGAATAATCACACACTCTTTGGTGTTCTAAATTATACTAAGACTCCTGGAGGAAGTAGAAGACTTCGTTCTAATATATTAGAACCTCTAGTTGATATTGAAACCATTAACATGAGATTAGATTGTGTTCAAGAACTACTTCAAGATGAGGAGCTCTTTTTTGGACTTCAGTCAGGTAAATGAATATCACCTAATTTTATGAATACAAATTATTAAAAAATACATTGTCTTTTTATAAGAATACTAGTCATATTGGATTAAGTCTCATCCTAATAACATTATCTTAACTTACATCTGCAAAGATCTAATTTCCAAGTAAGATCACATTCAGATACCAGGGTTTAGGACTTCAAAATATCTTTTTGGGGACACAATTCAACCCCCATAACATAAGGTAAGAGAATTGCCTTTGGCATCTGGCTATTTGTTCACTCGCATGGCAATACAGTTCTCTTCTTAAATCTATAGGAAGGAGAGTAGATACGTACTACTCCTAGGCCAATTCCTGGTTCCTAGCAGTTTGATCTGTCTTTCATACCCCTACTCCCAACCATTCCACATGGTGTTCTGGTACATGAAAATCTAGGAGGCATTGAGCAAGCTACAAAGAAATTATTTTTTTTAAGTTTATTTTTTAGTAATCTCTACACCCAACATGGGGTTCAAACTCACAGCCCTGAGCTCAAGAGTTGCATGCTCCCTGACTAAGCCAGCCAGGTGCCCCACAAAGAGGACATTTTTAATTGTAATCCTTTTCTTGTTCACAGCAACATCTTTTTGGCCGACCTATACCTGGCCTTCCATGTTATACATAAGTGCCTAGAATATGAAGTTATTTAATTATGTAATGTTAGTCAAACTCCAACAGTTGTCATCTTTTTAAACTTTCTGCTACTAAATATGCAGTTGCCCTTCTCTTGCCTGTAGCTAACGCTCCACCTATGTTCTGGATACTGTCTTTGTACTCATTTGTCTCCTGTATCTTTAATACCTTTCTCTCTTCCTCCTGTCTTTCCCATCTTTGTAAAAAAAAAAAAAAAAAAATCTCGCTGGACTTTACCTTCTCCAGCTACCACCTTATTTCTCTCTTCTCCCAATTCATACGTAAACTGGTTGAAAGACAGATTTTCTGTAGTCACTATCTTCTCTTCACAACATTTCAGTCTGCTGCAGTCTTGTTTCTGTGCTCACTGTGTGAGATTCCTCTAGTCAAAGTTACTGTAGCAAATGTTATTGGTTCTTTGTCAAGATCCTCTTGGGTCTGTTTTACCTTTCTGTGTACCCCTTTTCTTGCTCTGTGTGGCTTTTGCTTCTACTGGCCCACCTGTGGAATCTCATTGGAATCCTGGCCCCAGACTGTTAGAGCATTTTGCTCTCAAGAAGTGTGCCAAAAGTGCCTTGCAGCCCTTAAATCACTGAATGAAGTGGGAATATGAAAATGCTGCTCTTTCTGAAAAATTTTTATTAAAATTCAATTTAGTTAACATATATTGTATTACTAGTTTCATGGGTAGAATTTAGTGATTCATCGGTTGCATATAATATCCCACTGGGGTATTACATTACATCAAGTGCCCTCCTTAATGCCCATCACCCACTCAAAATGGATGAAAGATCTAAATGTGAGACAGGAATCCATCAAAATCCTAGAGGAGAGCACAGGCAGCAACTTCTTTGACCTCGACCACAGTAACTTCTTACTAGACACGTCTCTGAAGGCAAGGGAAATGAAAACAAAAAACTATTGGGACTTCATCAGGATAAAAAGCTTTTGCACAGCAAAGAAAACAGTCAATAAAACTAAAAGGCAACCTACAAATGGGAGAAGATATTTGCAAATGACTTATCAGATAAAGGGCTAGTATCCAAAATCCTTAAAGAACTTATCAAACTTAACACCCCAAAACCAAAAAATCCAGTCAAGAAATGGGCAGAAGACATGAACAGACATTTTTCCAAAGAAGACATCCAAATGGCCAATAGACACATGAAAAAATGCTCCACATCTCTTGGCATCAGGGAAATACAAATCAAAACCACAATAAGATAAAACCCTGCCCTTTTTATATTGGTTTGGTGAAAACCCTGAATATAACTTAAAGTCCAGGATTCTTCTATAGGATCAGTTGAAGTTACCTTCTATAGGACTTTGCCTGAAATTATACTTTTACTTGTCTTTTTCCCTTCCCCATCCTTCTCTCTTTTCCTGTTTTCTCTTGGAAGCATATTTTTAAAAAAATTATTTAAATTTTAGTTAACATATAGTGCAATATTGGTTTCAGGAGTAGAGTTCAGTGATTCATCACTTACATACAACACCCAGTGCTCATCACAAGTGCCCTCTTTAATACCCATCACCATCTAGCCCATCCCCCCACCTACCTCCCTCCATCAACCGTCAGTTTTTCTCTGTGGTTAAGAATCTCTTGGGTGGGGCACCTGGGTGGCTCAGTCAGTTAAGCATCTGCCTTCAGCTCAGGTCATGATCCCAGGGTCCTGGGATTGAGTCCCATATCGGGCTCCCTGCTCAGTGGGGAGCCTGCTTCTCCCTCTCTAAAAAAAAAAAAATCCTTCGGTGCCTGGGTGGCTCAGTCGGTTAGGTGTCTGCCTCAGCTCAGGTAATGATTTCAGGGTCCTGGGATGGAGCCCTGCATCAGGCTCTGTGCTCATCACTGGGGAATCTGCTTCTCCTTCTCCCTCTGCTGCTCCCCGCCCCTCCCTGCTTGTGCTCTCTCTCAAATAAATAAAATCTTTAAAAGAATCTCTTATGGTTGGTTTCCCTCTCTCTTTTTTCCCCCCTCCCATATGTTCATCTGTTTTGTTTCTTAAATTTGGAAACACCTTTTTTTTCCTTAAGTAGGCTCCACATACTGTGGAGCCCAGTGTGGGGCTTGAACTTACAACCCTGAGATCAAGACCTGAGCTGAGATCAGGAGTTGGACGCTTAAGCGACTGAGCCACCCAGATACCCCTGGAAGCACATTCTTTTTTTTTTTTTTTAAAGATTTTTAATTTATTTATCTGAGAGAGAGAAATGGGAGACAGAGAGCATGAGAGGGGGAGGATCAGAGGGAGAAGCAGACTCCCCGCTGAGCAGGGAGTCCGATGCGGGACTCGATCCAGGGACTCCAGGATCATGACCTGAGCCGAAGGCAGTTGCTTAACCAACTGAGCCACCCAGGCGCCCCGTGGAAGCACATTCTTAATAAATCACTTGCACATCAGTCCTCATGTCAGGATCTACTTCTGAAGAACTCAGCCTAAGACAGTCATCTACAGGTTCATTGTTGTTAAATTTAATGGACACATTAGTTCTCTTATTTGAACTCCAACTTATATGATACTGCTAAATATCTCTTATTTTTGAATTACTGTCTTTCTTTTTTTTGCAATTATACAATCTCCTGATTTTCTTCCTACTTTGGAGTTTTCCTTCCTTTTTAGCTCTGAAACTCATTTCTTTAAAAAGTTTACATGACAGGAAACAACAAATGTTGGCGAGGATGTGGAGAAAGGGGAACTCTTTTACCCTCTTGATGGGAATGCAAGCTGATACAGCCACTCTGGAAAACAGTATCGTGGTTCCTAAAGATGTTAAAAATAGAGCTACCCTACAACCCACAATTGCACTACTAGGTATTTACCCCAAAGATACAGATGTAGTGAAAAGAAGGGGCACATTCACCCCAATGTTCATAGCAGCAATGTCCGCAATAACCAAACTGTGGAAGGAGCCGAGATGTCCCTCAACAGACGAATGGATAAAGAAGATGTGGTCCATATATACAATGGAATATTACTCAGCCATCAGAAAGGATGAATACCTACCATTTGCATGGACATGGGTGGAACTGGAGGGTATTATGCTAAGTGAAATAAGTCAAGCAGAGAAAGTCAATTATCATATGGTTTCACTTATTTGTGGAACATAAGGAATAGCACAGAGGACCATAGTGGAAGGGAGGGAAAACTGAATGGGAAGAAATCAGAGAGGGAGAAAAACCATGAGAGACTCTGGACTCCAGGAAACAAACTGAGGGTTACAGAAGGGAGGGGTGTTGGGGGGATGGGGTAGCCAGGTGATGGGTATTAAGGAGGGCACGCGATAAGATGAGCACTGGGTGTTATATGCAACTAATGAATTGTTGAACACTACATTAAAAAAAATAATGATGTATTATATGTTGGCTAATTTAACATAATAAAAAAAAAGTTTACATGAATATCCAGTCAGAACCAACTGGTTATCTCCCTTGAAATGTTATCTATATGGATTTCCAAATGGACCTCAGGACTGTATACAATCTTGGAATGTCCTCAGAAAGCTCTGTCATTGACCAGGTAACAGTAAAAACTTCAGAGTCCTTTCTTTCACATGGAAAAGGAAAACACTTCTGAGTCTTCTTTAAGGTTTCTATTCCTTTGCTCAGTCCCTAAATGCTAAGCCTCTTCAAAGATATGTCCTAGGTTGTCTTTTTACCCTGTATATTCTTATATGACTTACCTTCCTGCTTTTATAATTATCACTCACATATTCATGACTTCCTAATCTACATCTCATACCCAGATATCTCTACAGACCTTCAGCCCCATCTATCTTATTGCCTACTGAGCACTTTTTAGATGTTCCTCAACCATTTCAAATTCAGTGTTCCCAAACTGTGCTATCTTCCTTCTAAGTCAGTCTTCCTGATTTCAGTGAAGAGCTCTACATCCAACCTCTACTGAGCCAGATACCTGGAAGTCAGTCTTTTTCTTTTTTAATTTTTAAAAAAGATTTTATTTATTTATTTGACAGAGCACAAGCAGGGAGAGCGACAGGCAGAGGGAGAGGGAGAGGCAGACTCCTTATATGACTTACCTTCCTGGTTTTATAATTAGCACAGGATCCACAGATAATATTTCAGTTCTTTTTTTTTTTTTACATTTATTTATTATTTATGTAATCTCTGCACTCAGTGTGGGGCTTGAACTAATGACCCCAAGATCAAGAGTCGCATGCTTTGCCGACTGAGCCAGCTGGGTGCCCTGATAATATTTCAGTTCTATATTAAGGAAATGGGTAGGATTTTGACAACAGGAGAACCCTAGAAATGGTATTTGAGACAAAGGGAACATGCCTGTGCAAGGTATGCTGATGCACATAGGGCGACAACACTTTTTTTGGTTGTAGTTGCTGGGATAAATATCTGATATGAGTGCCATTGGCTGTGATCTTGAGCAGTCATTATTTTCTAGGGAACACTTGTTTTTCTGGGAAGTTGGGGAAGATAGAGTTAACATAAGCTTCTGCAGTTTTATTTAATGTTGATATGAAAGAGCTTGCTGTATTTAAGGCATGGCCAGTAGTTACTTATGATTTGAAGCCTTGAGGAATGGCAGGAAATGAGGATTGGGGCTAGCTTGTGAAGGGCTTTTATATAATGGTAAGAAATTTGGGATTTTATCCTGCAAATAATAGGGAGCTGATGATTTTAAATCAGGAGAGTAATATGATCAAACCCTTATTTTAGAAACATTATTCTGGTTGTTATGATAGGCTTAGGGAAGGGAAGAAGAAGAGACCAAAAAAGAAAGAGGCCAATCTATATGAGGGCTTAGGAGAGTCTGGTTAGTGGAATCACATGTAAAATGTCACAATAGTATTATGTCTTATTGAACAGTATAATTTATATTACAGTCTATTTACTGTGATTTTTAAACATAGCTTTAATATAGCTAATTACTGTAGAAGCAGCAAATTAGAAAGGGACAGAGTTGTAGAGGTAGGCAAACTGAAAAATACCACAAGATACTTGGCAGTTTGAACAGGAAGAAAGTGACATAAAATTTTTATCTTTTTGGTTTTTTTTTTTTAACAGTGTAGCAGGTTGGATCCATTTTGTGAAAGTATCAGTAAGTCTACACAAAAGCTTTGAGGTCACATGTTTCAGTGATGATAATAGTCATGAGTTATTAAGAAACAGTTACTATAGTTTACTGTATTTTAAGTACGAGGAAATGAGTTCATCCTTAAAAGGTCTGTTAAATGGCAAAATTAAAAAAAAACTGGAGATATTTAAAAGACATAGATTACAATTATCTATGAATTTATTTTTGTAGAAAACTTTAAGCTGGAAAATGAGTTGAGAAGAACAAAAGAACAGTTTTGAGCTCTAGTGTGTGCAAGGTACTTTACATATATTATCTCCCTTACTCCTCACAACAATCCTAGGAGGTAGATGTTACTATCCACATTTAAAAAATGAAAACAACCAAAGTTCAGAGAAAATAGGTAAATTCTGGTAGGCTACATGGTTAGTGGTTGAACTGGGTTTTTAAACTAATCTTAAGTATCAGGAAGAAAAGTTACAGATCAAAAAGGTGGGAAGAAAATTATAAAGACATCTAAAAGCCAGAGAAGTAAGTTTTTAGAAGGAAAGGGTGATCAACAGTGTCAGATTTTGAAGACAGATTATAACTAATAAAATTAAGAAAAGACCATTAAAATTTATTGTTTTATTCCTGACACATGTAAGATAGATAAAGACGATTAAAACAAGTAATGTTTGTAGGTAGAACTGTTCTATTTTATTATTTGAGAATAATACTTTACATAGTTTATATTTTGAACTGTAACACAAAGTTTAAATGCACATGTTTTTTGTTTGTTTCAGTTATATCAAGATTTCTTGATACAGAGCAGCTTCTTTCTGTTTTAGTCCAAATTCCAAAGCAAGACACGGTATGTATGTATATATTATATATTATTATACTTTATATGATATAATTTGTCTTAATGTGATATAACAATTAGAAAATATAAATATTTTGGAAAAGTACTTCATTATTAATACCTGGAACATTTTTATGCCTTTTAAAGGAAACATTTTTTCCCAATTTCCTATTCTATGTTATAGTAAAAATTAAAAGTTTCTTAATTGAGGAATTGGCATATTTTCATTAATCAAATATTTACTTAAAAAGTTTATAATCTTTTTAAAACTTAGATTATAATTTTTGCTTAATAAATAACTAGATAAAAATTATCTTAGATCCAAAGATTATGGGTGCTTCTTTTTTTTTTTTTAAGATTTTATTTATTTATTTATTTGAGAGAGAGAGAGAGAGAAACAGCATGAGAGGGGATAGGGTCAGAGGGAGAAGCAGGCTCCCCGACGAGCCGGGAGCCCGATGCGGAACTCGATCCCAGGACTCCGGGATCATGACCTGAGCCGAAGGCAGTCGCTTAACCAACTGAGCCACCCAGGCGCCCTATGGGTGCTTCTTAAAAGTGAACATTATGTAAAGTTTGATTAGCCTTCAAATATGCTTAAACTTTAAGATGAAACAGTGTCTTTGGATATTTTTCAAAATTAAATACTTAGTGCTTATAGGCACATCCTGTAAAAAAAAGTGATAGATGGTTTTTATTATTCTCTTTAAGGTGAATTGAAAAATATTTACTTTAATGAAATACACACATATTTTTGCTCATATGCTTAAAAAGGAAAAGAGTTTTGTACATCAGTAGAGTTTGATTTAAAATTTGATTACTTTGCAAATCCATTGAAATCTATGTTTCAGAACTCTTTCTTTATTGTAGAGATAACACTCTTTAGGTTCATTTATAATAAAAACATCATCCGACGGATGGAAAAGCTTTGGCTGTTGGATAGGCACAGAACTAGAAGTTTTCTTAAATAATTGAAATACCTTGTAATAATTCAATATATACAAGTGGGAATTAGCCAAAAACAACTGATGTCTGGAACAAAATTAATTACATTCGTAACATGAGTTTGAAATATTCCTCCTCTTTAACTTTCTAGAACAGTTTGTGTAGAACTGGTTTTATTTATCCCTTAAATGTTTGGTAGAATTCACAAATGAAGCTATTAGAACGTGGGATTTTCTTTCTAGGGAGGTTTTCGACTGTAAATCCACCTTATTAAACAGATATGGTGCTATTCAGATTACCTCTTTCTCATTGAATGAGCTTGCGTAGATTGTGTCTTTCAAAGAATTTGTCATTTCACCCCACTTGTTGAATTTATTGGCATTACATTGTTCCTAATGAACTCCTTATTATCCTTTTTATATTTGTAAAACTTGCAGTGATATATTCTTATTCTTGATGTTGGTAATTTAATATTCTTTTTTTTTCTTAGTCATTCTGGCTAGAGGTTATCAATTTTCTTGGTGTTTTCAAGAAACCAATTTTTGATTTAATCGATTTCATCTTCTTTTCTTGTTCTCCATTTTGTGGATTTCTTATCAGTCTTTTATTTTTTTGAGCGAATATTTGTTTGTTTGCTTGTTTTCTTCCAAGTTTTTATTTCAATTCCAGTTAGGTAATATACAGTGTAATATTAGTTTCAGGTGTGCAATATAATGATTCAACACTTCTGTACAACGCCCAGTGCTCATCACAAGTGTACTCCTTAATCCCCATTACCCATTTAACCCATTACCCACCAACCTCCCCTCTAGTAATCCTCAGGTCTCTACAGTTAAGAGTCTGTTTTCTGGTTTGCTTCTCTCTCTCTCTCTCTCTTTTTCTTTCCTCTGCTTACTCTGTGCTTAGTTTGCTCTTCTTTCTCAGGATTCTGAAGGTAGAAGCTGAGATGATCGATTTGAGACCTTTTTTTCTTTTCTAATATAGTCATTTAGTGCTATAAATTTCCCTCTGAGTAATGCTTTAGCTATATTACACAATTTTTTAAAACTAATTTATTTGAGAGAGAGTGAGCAAGTGAAAGAGAGAGACAGAGAGCACAAACGGGGAAAGGCAGAAGCAGACTCCCCACTGAGCAGGACCCTGGGATCATGACTTGAGCCGAAGGGAGATGCTTAACTGACTGAGCCACCCAGGCACCCCTATATTTCACAATTTTTGATATGTTGTGTTTGTCATTCAAAAAAGTTAAAAATATCTTCTAATTTCATTTTTAATTTCTTCTTTGACATGGGTTATTTAGAAGTGTGTTATTTAGTTTCCAGTATTTGGGAATTTTCCAGGTATCTTTCTATTACAAATCTCTAATTTAATTCCATTGTGGTCAAGGACATATGTTGTCTGATACGGATCCTTTGAGCTTTATTGACTCTTGTTTTTATGGCCCAGAATATGATCTATCTTGGCAATGTTCCATGTATACTTGAAAACAATGTATATTTTACTGTTGTTGCATGGAATTTTCCATGAATATCAGTTAGTTCAAGTTGACTGATAATATTCTTCAAGTCTTTTTATTTCTTTTAAGATTTATTTATTTATTTAATTTTTTTTAAAGATTTAAAGATTTATTTAGTTTAGAGAGGGGAGCAGGGAGAGAGTGCATGAGTTGGGGAAGAGGGAGAGAAGCAGACTCCCTACTGAGCACAGAGCCCAATGAGGGGCTCAGTCCCACGATCCCAAGATCATGACCTGAGCTGAAATCAAGAGTTGGTCACTTAACCAACTGAGCCACCCAGGAGCCCCGTTTTATTTATTTTAGAGAGAGAGAGAGTGCAAGAGAGTACAAATGAGGGGAGGGGCAGAGGGAGAGGGAGAGAGAATCTCAAGCAGATTTCCTGCTGAGCGCAGAGCCGGTTGTGGGGCTCAATATGACAACCCTGAGATCATGACTTGAGCCAAAATCAAGAGTCAGACATTTAACTGACTGAGCCATCCAGGTGCCCCTCTTCAAGTCTTCTATATTTTTATTGGTTTTTTTGTCTATTTATTCTATCAGTTATTGAGAGAGGGATGCTGACAATTCGAACTATAATTGTGGATTTGTCTATTTCTCTTAGAAGTTCTCTTTTTAATAGTGGACACTCTGTGTATACTAATTTGCATATGTAAGTTCAAAATCATTTGCATACATAAAGTTCAAAATCATTTTCCTCCTCCCTCAATCATTTTTTTTTCTTTTTCAAGTTTTTATTTAAATTCCAGTTAGTTAACATACAGTGTAGTATTAGTTTCAAGTGTTGAATTTAATGATTCATCACTTACATACAATACCTAGTGCTTATCACAAGTGCCTTCCTTAATACCCACCACCCATTTAACTCATCCCCCTGCCTACCTCCCCTCCAGTAACTCTCAGTTTTTTCTCTATAGTTAAGAGTCTGTTTTATGGTTTGCCTCTCTTTTTTTTCCTCTCTGTGTTCATCTGTTTTGTTTTTTAAATTTCACGTAAGAGTGAAGTCATACGGTATTTGTCTTTCTCTGACTATTTCACTTAGCATAATACACTCTAGCTCCAACCGTGTTGTTGTAAATGGCAAGATTTCATTCTTTTTTTATGGCTGAGTAATATTCTACTGTGTGTTTGTTTATATACACATATATATACCAACTCTTTTTTTTTATTATGTTATGTTAATCACCATACATTACATCATTAGTTTTTGATGTAGTGTTCCATGATTCATTGTTTGTGTATAACACCCAGTGCTCCAT